AAAAAAAAAAAAAAAAAAAAAAAAAATATTAAATTTATTTGCATAATTCCCGACATATGCTGGTTAACGCACATTATCCTAAACATCATACATTATTTATATTTCATTACGGAGATTATAGGAAGCAAATAAATCAGTACTTATTAAAGTAAAAAAATATATAAAATAATGGAACACAAAAATCACGAGATCTTCATATTACTTTATCCGGGTGTGTTACAGTATATTCCAATTTTCTTTTTAAAATTATAAATAGAATTAATAGCCACAGTTTAAAATATGTGGCTTAAATGTTAAATTCGCGTGGTAAAAATATGTAATATATGTAAATATATGTAATAATGTAATATGTGTGAATAATTATTAATAACCTTGAGAAAAAAAGATATAATAGATAACGTGTGAAGCTCGTGGTGATTACATTAAATTTATGCAAAAAAATTCACCTGTCAAAAAAAATAAAGTGATTTTTTCTTTACGCAAATTATTTCATAATCTCCGAGCCAATGTACTAATAATTTAACACGGGATCTATTAGATAAACAACATAAAAAAAAAATTAGTGTGGCTTTATTATATAAAAATACAAGTTTCATTTTACAAAGAATATCCGTAAAAAGAAGTTTGAGAATAAGCCACTTTTCTAAACAACAAACAAATATCAAAATATCGCATATATATATAAGGACATATGGAATTCTATTTTAAAATGAAAGTAGTTTAACATTTTTGTATGACATAATAATTGAAAAATTTTTGTGATTAGTGATTACCTAGAGTTATTTTTACCTTTAGGTTAAATGAAATCTAGAATTTCTATATATGAAATGAAAATGATGAAATAAGTGGCGAATTCTTTATATATTTTAATGTATTTTTACTGTGGCAATAAAATACTCCCAACTCCCATTCTAGGTAATAAAGTTGCGTGGATTCCGTTTTTTTATTATATAAATATATAATATTATTTATATATTATTTATACACTGTTGATTATCAGTATATATTGTATTATTATGTATATTACTAAATTTATATTATTAATCAAATCCTCTTTTTCAATGACAAGTTAAAAAATATTTTATATTAGTTTAATTTGTGGGGTATTTTACTTATTTTTAACTATTCTCCATATGGATAAATAAAATTTCAATCAATCAAATAATTCATATTACTTTCACAAGCTTTCGTATCTTAATACATTTGTCTTTGTTTCGCTATAAATCATTCCTGATAAAGGCAAGATTTGGTATAATTAACTTTATCTTTATGTTTTAGACATGTTAAAAAAGTTGAACATGTTGAACATGTTGAACATGTTAGAAAGCTTATTAGTTAGCTACAAGAATTTTTTTTTTTTTTTTTTTTTGTGAGCAAAATATGGAATAAAATTATGTCGATCTTTTTTTTCATAATTTTATGTAAAATTGTGTAATTAACTAATTATAAAATTTCCTTTCGTTGTTAGAATTCCTTGTTATCAAATAAAATTTTATTTTATCAATATAAAATTTCCTTTTTACTATTTAAAGTTTTTTTCTTTATAAAATTCTTTAAAAGAAAGAATTAAAAAGAAAGAAAGAAATGAAAGATGTTGAATGATTCTTTATCGCATAAAATGAATCCTTATCTCCCTAGAACGGAATCATTTTAATAATAATAAATTAAGTATGATCTTAAGGTTGAACAAAGCAATGCAGTTGGACAGAACATTTCCATCTTTATTATTTTATTTACTCGAACCCCAAACAAAGAAGATAAAGTTTGAAAAAAAAAAAAAAAATATCATGATACGATTTACACGTGATCATTTATGTGTGTAATTAAACCTTATAAAACTTATAACC